CAGGTATTGTTATTATATCAATCATTTGTTTTCTAATCGGCATAATGATGAGCACAATCATTACAACAATTCTAATTTCTTGTGTTCGCACAATATTTGTCTGCTTTGCTCTCAATCCGGCAGTACTGGGTGCAACACACCCTGATCATTTGCAACGTTTGACAAAGGTTTGGCACAAAGTTTATCCAGCAGAATTCGCCACCAGTGGTTATGCTGATCGTTTTCCGAAGCCAGTGAATGTTTAACCAAGATTTTTAAAGCACTGGATCGTTTATTAACTGAACATTTTTGATGAATGAACAGCGATAAACAATTTAAACAACAATTCAGTTATATTTTTCTACTTTTACCCGCCTATATGTATTCATGAAACACTGCAACTATGTCGTACTAACAGAACTGTACAGCTTCTTTGTCTATTTGTTGTTTTTCATTAATATATTTCGTAGTTTTTAGATATTGTCGTTGTAGAAAAGATGAACCTGTTTTGTATGCATGATTTTTTGACAATTATTCAACAATAAAATAATAATTGAAATTATATGATAAACGAATCGCATCTTGTTCAGAATAAATCTAAGTATGAAATGTTTCCAAAGACCTAGATTGAATCTTGAAAATGACTTAGACATAGAATATTTAAATAGAGGATTTCACAAAAGTCATGTCCACTTAAGAAATGCTTCGAACTTCATTACTAAACAAGGTTAATCTAATATTCTTTTTTTGTTTGGTAGAGGAAAGTATCGAGGTTTTTTTGTCTAATACAAAGTTCATAAATACTCTTTAAAGGCTATCACTCCTAGCCAGAACATAAAAATGTACTTCGGGCATTTCAAAAGTAGTGGCAATGACACTTCAATACTGTATAGTGAGCTTGAAGAAATTTTCTTTTTTTATATGATGACGGAGAAAACGATGCTCTATTTTTCTGTGCTATTTGATCACTCTTCAACGAATATCATAATAATAAAATTTCGATAAGAACTGTTTTTGTGTAAAATTTCACTAGCGGATGAGACAGATAAAATGTCTCAATCACTTAATACGTTATATTAAATAAATGTGGAAACCTCGGATTTAAATCCGAGAGTTATGTGTACCTCAAAAAGTGAATGAAACAGATGAATCATCCG